AATCTTTATTTTTCAATGTTAAAACACAATTTATATTTTTTTGTGTTAATACAGCAATATAGTCACATGGTACGGCAAAGAATGATGTGGAACTGCGCATCTTGAGTCCAAGAAAGCTCTCAATTAAAAGATGACGCATGTTAAGGTGTTACTATATTTTCATTTCTGCTTATCTATATCTGTATGTATATCTATATTCATATTCATATACCGTTAAGTCATTAGCAATGCGCCATTCATTAGATACACAACGGAATGTCGATATAGACTATGCTAGTCTTTCGTATCATATAAAACTAGCGCATATCCCCGCCTATTCAATAAGGTTATAGATGCAATAAAAATATTCACACCAAGAATTACATTAAAATCCCCTTTCTCAAGCACACAGGTGACGTTCTTAAACATAACCTCCTTGGGGTAGGAAAGTCAATAGGGACAAGTCATAGGGGATACCTGATAGCCAACAAATTCAATCAACCTAAATTCCTGGATCACAACAAAATTATGGGCTAAGTTAGGCTAAGGCACACCTGTGGTAAAATTTTCATTAAAAATATGTTATTTTTTTATGTTAACAAACGAAGAATTAATATTCAGATCAAAAAAATTTAATGGCATCTAAATTAAGCTAAGACACACCTCTGGTAAAGATTTAAAAAAAACTATTCATAACTTTTTAGGTTATCCTGCTAACCAATGAACAAACAAACTAACAAACTAACCAACGCGACCAAAATTATAACCCTGGCGAAAGTGACTCCTGGCACCATGCGAGACCCTGCCCGTCCTTATTTGCAGAGCCAGATTTTTCCTCAGTACCGCAGTCTTGGGTACATAACCATCACCCACGTACTGCATATGGAGTTACACCGAATGTGAGACACTGCGATTCGTTTGCGGGTATTGAGGACGAAAACTAGCATATTATATAGGAGAGGCGAGCTGATAGCATATATATATAATATATATATAATATATATATATATATATATATATATATATATTATATAATTTATATATCACACCACAACACACACAAATACATATAGCATATACATATGCAAATACATATACATACACATACACATGTCCTCGGGACATGCGGTATGAAGTCATTAATTGTGTGGGTTTGTCCATTATTTTTATTTTCATATTGTATATTAAAGTATTGACAAAACCTTGAAAATGCTGATGCAGATGGATGTATGCCGCATGCCAAGTAAATATGGCTATTTACGCATAGTTGCTAAGTGATGCATAATATTCTATGAAAATCAAAGTTTGCTAATAGATGCATTTCATACACATACTCTTTATATATCTTTTATGCACAGCAAGGACTTCCAGCCTTCATCCTTAACCCGTTTGGCATAATAAACTTCAATCACAGTTTTATTACTTCTCTTTACTTGTCAAGCACGTGATTTTTACAAGTTCTCCTCATCTTCATATCAGGCAAATCACACCCCTACCTAACCTATCAACTATATCCATATTTCCCATAAGAATATAATATGTCCTCATAGACAACGTGAAAACAATTTATTCACGATGTCCGTCGCCATTTACCTTCTTAATCTCAAATTCATATCATGCACCCTCCTTTCTGCCCCTTGTTCTCTTTAAAGAATTGCTATTTAATTTATATCATAAATTTACCCCCGTATGAAAGCCTTCTCTCTCTCTCTCTCTCTCTCTCTCATCTCCTCTCATCTTCGTCTCTCTCTCTCTCTCTCTCTCTCTCTCTCTCTCTCTCTCTGAGTTCGTCCTCTCTCTCTCTCTCTCTCTCTCTCTGTCTATCTATCTTTTTTTACACCTACAATGCACAAATCAATCCATTAATTTTTCAATGGCTTTGGTATTCTTATAAGGGAGGTTTATATTGAGTAGCACAAAGAGAAGGAAAGAATGAGAGAAACCAGGTAAGCAAGGTTTGTTTATCTTGCTATTAATTACAAAAAATCTTTGTGCGATTGCATTTGTCAGAGTAAAAGAGCAAAGTCGTGATGGACCATTTTTCTGGCTGTCTCTAGAGTGTCCACGAAGTTAACCTTGGGCGTGAAGGGGGGGGGGTTAAGAAGTCAATCAAGCAGTTTTTAATCTTTAAAATCAGAGTCAAAAGATTCTAAATGAGTCTTTGATATGGATACAATGTATGAATATAATATAATGTATATATATGTGTGTTGTGTATATTTAATATAATATTATTATATACTATATAATATATATACATATATAATTATATAATATATATATTATTATATATATAATATATATATATATATATATATATATATATATACAGATTGAGAGAGAGAGAAGAAAACAGAGAAGAGAGAGAAAGAGAGATGAGGAGAGGGAGAGACGAAAAAATAGAGGGATGGAGAGAGGGAGAGAGGGGAGGAGGAAAAAATGGGAGAGAGGAAAATGGAGAGAGAGAAAAAGGAGAGGAGAGAGAGAGGAGAGAGAGAGGGAAGAGAGAGAGAGATAGAGAGAAGATAGAAATAAGGAGAACGGGGGGGAGGGGAGAGAGAGCGAGAGAGAGAGAGAGAGAAGAGAGAGAGAGAGAGAGAGAGAGAGAGAGAGGAGAGAGAGAGAGAAGAGAGAGAGAGAGAGAGAGAGAGAGAAGAGAGAAGAAGAGAGAGAGAGAAGAAATAATAGATAAACATATAGGAGATGGATGGATATATGATAGATACAGAGGGGGATACAAGGAGACAGATAAATATTTAAATGGATAGATAGATGGACAGAGAGAAAAGGGGAGATAGATAGTTAGAGAGAGAAAGGGGGGAGAATAGATAGAGAGGGGGGGGGGGAAAAGATATAGATAAGTACAAAGAGAGATATATATATATATATATATATATATATATATATATATATATATATATATATATATATATATATATATATATATTCTCTCTCTGTGTGTGTGTGTTTTGCATGTACGTGTGTACATGCAAAACACACACACACACATAATATATGTAAGGGTTGAATTTATTATACTTATTCTAATTAACTCAATTTTGTAAATAGAAATCATATTAGTGAGTTTTTCATATGCCAATTCATTTAAATGTAGGCCTATTCTAACTGCATTCACCATACCATCAAATTTTGTAGGTAGCGTAACCTAACGGTCTTTAAGACTGGTGGGTGTGGGAATGAATTCATCCAATGTTGAGTGTGTGCCAAATTTATAATGGCCATAAACATTTTTAATCATTAATATTTTATTAAGTAAATAATGATGAGCAGGTGGCGTATCATTTTGTAAATCTTAACAATAAGCATAATTTAAACAAGGAATATTCTAATTCATTAGGTGAACTCTGTACCCCCCTTTTTCCTACTAATTATAAATCAATATCATTTTAATAAATAAAATGAAAATATATATGAGACGGAATCGAGACCCTCACACCCAGTCTATCAGTGTTCACATGGTGTATGTGTAAAAAATGATTTTACCTGAAATGTTTCGGCAAGTCATTTTGGATGGGGGGGGGGGGGGCAGATAACAAATATACTCAGAGCATGTTGTTCCTGACGAGGCCGCGACGGCATGGAAAATGGACAGGAATTAATGATTTGGTTCAGTTTGTCATAACAATAAAATAATATTCTAATTTCTCTGACCAAAGTTTCGACAGAGTCACGCTTAGCAATGATTCTTGATAACAGCAATAATAAACAACTTAGTATGTATAGATAACGGTGGTTCGAAATGGAATAAAGGTAAGTGAATATTTCGTTCTATATAGGAAAGGAACGAGTGAAGATTCGAAACGCAAATTATATACATAGACAGCACGGACAAAAAGTGAACGGCACTGAAGCTAAAACGTAAACAGGTGAGAGACAGTTCTTGGTGCCGATTTTCTAATACAAATGCACAAATACTGTTTTGTTAACAAATCATCCTTAGTGAAGGTCAGTGAGTGTACCTTTTGTCGTTGTTAAAAAATCAAATCATTTGTTTATCTCTTCATTTCCATTACTCGATCGTACTTTATTCTTTGTATGCCTTGCTCGCTTTGCACGTATACATGTACATCTATCTGTTTATCCATATATAGACACACATAATATGTGATTTTCTACCCTCAATCACCCGCGATTAAGAACTTTATCTTTCTTTACCATGCAAATGCAGTATAGAAATGCAGATAAACAACTGCTATCGCGTGGGCATCACTCACCATTTCCGTACCGGTCAAACCACTATCATTTTCAGTGAAGACGATGCTAGTTTAACCTTCATTTTGCAAGCTATTCTCGGTGACCATGAGGTAATGACTGTGCTCGTTTGTTTATCGCCCTGCTTCGGCCTCAGGGAGAAAGGTAATTATAGACCGAAACGGAATCCAGAAAAAGAAACTCACGCTTTCTGTAAAACTACAAACACAATTCTACACAAAGATATATTCTATCTCACTCTCTTCCATATGTGTATGAACGTAACTTCTGTCTAGTGTTTTACACATATTTAGATATACGAAAATACACAACCACGTAAAGGCAATTTTGTCACTGCTAACCCTCCATAGCAAAGGATCATATCCCTTTCACGGTCGTCACGACTTCCCTCCCGTCACCTTGGTG